TATATATATATCTTCTATAATATGTGCAAAAGTTAGCTTTCCATGCACAGTATGTGCTCCTATGTCTTATTACTTCTCTGAGGTCTTAGAAAAATTTACCACTTTTGTTTTTCATCATCATATTAGTATTTTTAAATATTTTCAGATTGTGATCATTCTTTTGTTCATTTTCACTTTCTAGGGAGATGAATTTGCGAACTACCTTCTTACGCAGTATCTTCCCACACTGAACATCGTGCCAGAGAGAATAACAGATTATTGTCAAGCCTTGAAGTCAGAACCAAAGGTTTTTAAGAGCTATCTAAGGGTATGTTATCACTGTTGAGCTAGACTTCAAAAAAGTAGTACTTGTAGTTCTGGTTTGTGTCAAAATGTCGAGAGAGTTTTGGTATGACTTGTAAGCAAATAATAATGTCACTTGGTGCTTATATTGTTTCTAGTCTCACATATTATATTACTTTGTCTTCTCTTTCTGGTCCTCATCCAGCAACTTCTTTTTATGGTCAGCTGCCTTGAGAAATTGGTTTAAAAAAAAATGAAAGTGGTTAATCAAATAATGGTTAGAAAAATTAACAGTGACTAGTAAAATTAATGAGAATTTCCATTTGGCACCAACAGAGATTTCAGGTATTTGTTTATGAGCTGTGTTTTTGATATTTTGTTGCTGCCGGAGGTTCTGCAGACGAATGTACTGTAAAATAGGGAGCCATGTACGTTAAGTATTGAACTGAAATATAAGCAATAAGGTTGTACTTAACATTAATAGAGCAAAGCAAGGTATCAACTGAAAGATATAACAGGAACTATTGATGCTTAGTGACAGTAATAAAATATTGAAATTACGCTCACTTTTTTGCAAAAGTGTTTGCCATTTTTGTTTAATGCTTGTTTACCCTAAGAAATCCTGTATCTTGATTTCATTATTTTTCAGATTTTTTTCCAGCAAGCAAAATCATAATGAACTCTGATATCTAGCTTTATCAAGGAACATGGCCAGTTCTTCGTGTCCGTTCTGAAGAGGGCAGCCTACCACAATGTTATTACAAATTCATTTGTGGTTATTAAATGTTGAATAAGCATCAAAAGAACTACAAGAATAGACTTTTTCAGTTGGGCAATGCTTACTAGTAAAGATACAAGAATTACTTCTACCAACACGCTTCATTGAACAGAGCAAGTGTATATTCACAAACTTTTTTCAGCTAACCTCAAGCAAAGCAAAGTGTTGTCAGTGCTATAGAGAAGATATCATGCTGCTTCATAAAGTCAGTCCTTGTGTCATTTTGTTATATAGATTACATTGTTTCTTTATGATGGTAATTTTGTATTTTTTAGAATAATATGCAAATTTAAGCTTCTGTGTCGTATTTCAGAGGTTGTCATTATTCAGAAACTGACAGTTTTTAAAAATTGTTTTCTTCCCCAAATAACGGAAAAGTGGGAAAAAATAATTTAGATTTACAGCTATTTGTTTTTGTTTTATAGGATCAATATTTATTCATTCAAAAATTGAGGGAATTAAATATCAAGAGCAGTATGATGATTTCACGGTATTGGTTCATTAAATTGATATATTGTTCATAAATTTAAAGGGAAATGAATAGAAGAGAATGGGTATTTAATACAGGATTAAGGGAAAAAAATTAAAGCACCTATGGAATGTGTTTAGAATATAACCATTTAGTGTATAGGAAAGGTTGTTGATTTTCCATGAAAAATGAATTACTTAAAAAGATGGGCAGATTTTATATGCAATTAATAAAAAAAAAAAATAACTACCCTGGAGAATGAAAAACTTATTGATGATGGGTTTAAGTAGAAATTGCATCATAACTGTTTATATGTAAACTGATTAAAAGTTAAGAACTGGCAGTTGTTCTGAGTACTAACTGACCGAGAATAACTATTAAAGTTTGTTAAAGTAAATAGTGTGAATAACTATATGAATACAAAGCAAAGATCATGAAATACAGTTTTTGTCCTAGTCCAAGGCACAACATTCAGTTAGTGTACCCTCATATGTATAGTTTTTAATTTTAGACAACAGGTTTACTGTTACATAGTGAGGAATATGAATTTTAAGTTATTTTATTCATTCTCATATTCTTAGAAAGTTATTGAAATACTTGACAAAAATTACCTTAAACTGTACACAGTCTCTTTGGTTTGCACTTGACAACAAGTCAGTGTTTGGACAGTATGCTGGTTTTTTTTATGAACTTTAATAGTTTTGTAAATTTTAATGTAAAATACAAAGTTTTTGTTGCATATTGGAAACTAGGGGTATAATATAAATGTGTTTATTACAAAACTTTTTTCTGTTGTTTTTCAAATAATTTTATATTAAACAGAAATAGCTATACTGAAAAAGTATGGATTCACTGAATATATAACTTTAGTTTAAGTGTAAAAAACAGGAGGTTCCTAAAATACATATGTCGTAAAGAAGACAACATATTGATTGTGTGAGTTTTATTACAATCACTTAAAAGTCCTGTACATTTTTACATTGGGCCATGTCTTTTGTCCAGGTTACCTTTATGTAACCATTTAACAAATGGCTAATAAGAAAAGAGTACGGATGTTTAAGTACATTCTTTTGCATTCATGTCAATAGTGTAAACACTTTGATCTACCATTGTAACGTCTTATGTTACTTAATTGTTATATATATTAGATAATTGAATTTGTTTTGCTTCTTTGCTCAGCTTCATTTTCATCAGTAGTTTTGTGTTCATGTTTTACATTTTCTTATGTGGCTCACCTAACATCTTGCAAAAGGAGGAGCATTACATGGTTACCTATTTCCAGAATTTGACATTAGAGGAGACTATTAAAGTTTAACTGAAATTACCCCCATGTAAATCTCACTTGAACTATTTATTTGTTATGGTTTAACTCTGGACCGTATGATCCACTACATAGTTATCTGTCTAGGAAAATATTATATGAATTATTTCCCTACCAGAGGTCCCTTTTGGGCAAGTCTAATTATGGTTCAGCTCTTATTTCTCAGCCATAGGTGGAGGAGTTAAAAAAAAAACTACTGCTCTTGAAAGCCGTGGTTGTTTATTAAATTGATATTTTGTACCATTTAAGTTTTATCTTTAGTGTATGTTGTTACATATATTTTGTTGTGAAATGTATATAATTGACTTAAACAATTTACTATCTAGTAAACCATTTAGAACTGTTACTATAAAGATGTTACTTGGGTTACAATGAAGGTACAGTGTTAGAAGATGAAAGATTACAAAACCCTAATTTTTCCCCTTCATGGGTTGGTCATAAGTGATTTTGTATATTATTGTTTGATGTACATATAAGTTATTTTATTTTGATTTGTTTTGGAAGTTTGACATCCTCACGTATTATTTGTTTTCTGGGTTATTTTTGAATTTGTTTGTTCACTTTGTCTAAACAAAACAAAAACAAGATTTACTGCTTTGGCTGCCATCGTATATGCTTACAATACTTATGTTTGATTAATCTTTAAGTTGCAACAATACACTTCCTGAAGGTTTTATATATTTTACTTATTGTATGTCCCTTTCATAATAGGTCAAGAACCCCAGATACACTGCTAAGTATGTAATACATACTTCTTTTTTTGTTTTCAGCAAAACACTGAATTAAAATTGAATCTTTTCTGTATGCCTCACACATAATATAAATGTGTTTTTCATTTATCTGACGTTTAGATTTAAAGTGCACATTAATATCTTGTAGTTGTTTAGTTCGTGTTTCAGACATTCTCTTAAAATCAACACCTAATCACAAAAGATGTTTATTGAAAGGCAAAAAAAACCATTCACACAGTTTTGTAGAAGAGAAGAAATAGAGCAATGGATTTGTAGTTTTGAAAAAATTTTGGAGTTGTGAGAATGTCAGATGAAAGATGAGTACAATTCAAGAATGTTGAGAGGATGTCAGATGAAAGATGAGTACAATTCAAGAATGTTGAGAGGATATTGGATGAAAGATGAGTACAATTCAAGAATGTTTAGAGGATGTCAGATGAAAGATGAGTACAATTCAAGAATGTTGAGAGGATGTTGGATGAAAGATGAGTACAATTCAAGAATGTTGAGAGGATGTCAGATGAAAGATGAGTACAATTCAAGAATGTTGAGAGGATGTCAGATGAAAGATGAGTACAATTCAAGAATGTTGAGAGGATATTGGATGAAAGATGAGTACAATTCAAGAATGTTGAGAGGATGTCAGATGAAAGATGAGTACAATTCAACAATGTTGAGAGGATATTGGATGAAAGATGAGTTCAATTCAAGAATGTTGAGAAAATGTCGGATGAAAGATGAGTTCAATTCAAGAATGTTGAGAGAATGTTGGATGAAAGATGAGTACAATTCAAGAATGTTGAGAGGATATCAGATGAAAGATGAGTACAATTCAAGAATGTTGAGAGGATGTCAGATGAAAGATGCAAAAATATTTTATATAAGACATGAGTTATGAGGAGTGTTTCTAATCACATTTTAACCAATGATATGGATTTTGTTAGTTATTAATGAAATAGCATATCAAAAGATGTACAGTAAAAGGAGTAAAGCATTGATTTATTAATTTCTACTGAAGCTAAGTAGGTGACCAATTGGTAGATTTTTAATTTTTTTTAACTCCATTAGTGCTATCTTATTCTGACAAAATTTGAGGTTTTAGTTCTTTCACTTTAAATGCAAATATGAAAGTGAAAATAAACATGTTACGATATATTTCTTAGTTTAAAATCAAGGAATAGATGACCAAATCACCTTTAACAATAATTGCTGTATGCAAATGAAATTATACATCGAACATGTAATAAGGAAAAACATTTTATAAGCAGTTGTTTATGAAATGTAAAAGTACAATTAAGAAAAAATCTAAAGTCAGTTTAACTGCTTGTTTTTCATTTGTGTTGCATTCTATTCTTTCTAAGTATCACATGAATTTGGATTTTTTTAAATCTTTAAAAGTGATAAAAATGTGTATATTTTTATGGTTCTGTTTTGGTCCAAATTAGCTTAATGTGATGCATATAATTTTAACTGGACACACTGTGGTCAAATGTGGATTTTTGAACCTTTGTAGGGTATTTTCATTTGAAAATGTGTCCACTTGAGAAATGCAAGTGATTTTTGTAACAACTAATTAATTGGATTGTTGTGTTATTGCTTGTATAATTCTAAATACATCAGTCAATGCCTTTTAATGTGAAAAGTAATAAGCTAAAAAAATCGTCGTGATGTTAAGATTAAAGCAATTCTCTGCTCCAGTTATAAATGTTTGCATGGTAATATCTCTTTTTTTCTTTTTTTTTCCTCACAGCTGTATGGATTGAGAAGTTATAATGGAAAATAAACTTCTTTTTATTGATTGTTAGGCTTAACTTATTCTTACAATTATGCCTGTAAAATTAACTGGGAAATATAAAAACATATTTAGTAATTTACACAACAATATGAAACTTACAGGATAACTTGCATTTTGTTATGATTAGTCAGAAGCTCGTTCTCCTACCACGAAAAATGGCTAATGTTTGGTCATAAGAACTATAAAGTATAAAATCACCAGTGGATAGGTGTCCCAGCCGTTTTTCTTGGTATAAGTTTTTCCACCTTATTATTTTCGATTCAAGGTAATTGGTTATAACTAAGAGCACGAAATACAGTACATTTACTGTTATGTTAAACTTATATGAAAGTTTTTCTTCATTACCCATTCAAGCCGTCTCCAACCATTAACAGTACTGCCTCGTTATAACGCTACCATTGAGAGCCATGTTGCACACGAGAGCGATTTAGATGAGGGAACATTATAACCAACTACTGAACTAGTCAAGAAGGTACTCGTGCTGAGCAAGTCCAGATTCAACAGACTTCTAAGTAAAATAGCTGTTTATTTACATAGGGAAAATAGATATAAAAAGAACATAGATAAGATAAAATATGAATACAAACTTTCCGATATTTCGGAAACGAGGCACACTCATGTTCACTTATTTACTTACAAAGTATGATACTCTGCTTCACTTGGTTTCCAGCATGTGCATCACAGTTTCTTGAATAGTCGCTGGTTGTCGCTCCATCCAGTATAAAACCTCTTCGAAGTTTTAGTCAAATATTACTCTAAACCTGCTATAATTAACTACACGACATCTCTATTTCCTTCTGACACTGAGCAGTATCTTGGTTTAACCAATAAACAATTATTGGAACTTCTAGCCCTCTACACAAAGTTAAACTATTTCTTCTTTAATGACGTCATTTATAACCAGATAGATGGAATCTCCGCTGAGTCTAACAATAGCCTATACTTTTCTAAATTTTGGGGAGTCAAGGCACGACAGCGTTATAACGAAGCAGTACTATACATCCACATGAGCTCGATAATATCCATGTTATTTTAAACAAAGACTGCCGACTTTCACACGAATATGACTTGACTTATTTTTTTGTCGTTATTTGACAATTTGAACTTTATCTCCGGTATATGATTCATGTCTAAGACTTTAATCCAACTTTGTTAAAGGTGTATTGTATAGAGAAGTTTCATCTATTGTGCTTTCATATCAAAATTTTGCTACTAAATTTAACTCCCTTTTTTAAATAAGCCTGTAAATTTTTTAAAATTGCATTGATGATGCGAATGATTTATAAACCAATTATTATTATATTGCCTTATTTGATAAAGCTTAGCAACTTATTTCCGCTTACATGAACAAATGAACTTTAGTTCGTTAATCTCCCTGTTATTAGGGTATTTTTCTTAAATATTGTTATCTTACCTGTTCTAAATATATAACAAAGCACGAATCTTTTCGTTTTTAACAAACTTATTTATTTAACCGATTTCGTAACGTCGTATGCAAAAATAACAGCAACAAAAAATAACACTTTTTTTTTTAAAGTAAAATTCTATATAATATATACGGGTTTAATTTTTATGTTTATTTATTATTAAAGTTTTTCTAAAAACTTAAGTTACAAAATAAGTTATAACAATTTAAAATGAAAGCCTAATGACAAGTCTTTAACATTAAATTATTTTTAATTATTGTTTATAACTAAGCACAAAGCTGGATTCTAGCATTGTAAGTCCGCAGACATTCCGCTGTGCCACTGTTGTATCATTTTTAATGATAAAATTTTTGTAATAGAATAAATTCCACATACTACAGATAATATTTTTGAAAAATATTTCATTTACTTTACCCTAAATAACATTAATGTTTCGTTGCAGTTATCCACGGTATACCTAAGGTGTATCTAAAATACGCGCCAAAACAAAACCTTTGGACTTTATATTTAAGATACTAATAATTTGATACTAAGAGTAAATTTATATAAGTGTCATGTTAGAAATAAAAAAATTGGCACCTCTCAGTTAGTAAACATTTTTATTCTGTAATACTTTTTTAACGGACTGAATGAATCTTTTTTCAATGTTTTTCCCTTTTGAAAGAAGAACAGATTAATCTTTGAAAAAATATTTTATTGGCCGATTTAACGAATAAGATTTTAATTTAAAGCAGTTAGATGGCGAAGTGTTTAATAAATGGGAGTCCATAGATTTTGGCGCCT